GAACCCGGATGGACGACCCTTCAACACCCTTCAGCGCCTCACGACCCGAGCCCCCCAGCACCCCGATGCCCCCCTCAACAACCCCAGGACCCCGAGCCGCCACCCTTTCCCCCCGGGTACCCCGTTGCCAACCATCGCCCCCACCCATCGCACCCAATGACCCCCCTTTTTAGCCAAAACCACCGAACCCACAAAAAGGACCAATCCACAGAAACCCAAAGGTCCCCGCAAAACGGGCCACCGAAAAGACTGCTCCCCAAAACCCAGCTGCCCCCCCCCCCCTAAATCTCCTCCCCCTTTCAAAAGGACTCAAATGATTTCTCCCAGGGGTAAAACAGTTTTCCCCACCCACATGCCCGACCTTTTCCCCCTTTTCCCTCCCCCCTGGGGCCAACTGTCACCCCCACCCACCCCAAAACATGCCTCCTGCACTCCCCCTTTCCTCATTTTCCCTCCCCCCCAACCCAAAAACCCACCCCCCCTTTCTACCCGCCTACCCCCCCCAAAACGCTCAACTTTTTCCCCCTTCACCTTCCCCCCCCTTTTCCCCCCCTTAAGGGGCCCCACACCACCCCCTTTTCCCTCCCGGCCACTCCCCCGTCACCCCCTCCCCCAAATCACTATCAAGGGGGCCCACAGTTTCCTTTACATTTTCCCCATCCCCAGGGCCCCTCCTTTCCACCCTTCTTTTTCCCCCCTTTTCCCGGGGGGCCCCAGCCCGGCCCCAACACCCCCTTCCCCCCCCGAAACCCCCCGGGCCTCCCCACTCCCCCCCCCTTTCCTCTCTTCGGACCCCCCCACGGCCCCCCTTCCCGGGACCCCCCCTGCCCCGCCCCCAACCCCCCCCAACCTCTTTATCTGGCCCCTTTCCCCCCTTCGGCCCCTTCCATCCCCCCCCCTTTTCCGGGTTTTTTGGGCCCTTTCCTAAATAGCTTCCAAAAAAATTTGGGGCCCCTCCCAACAAACCCCTTCCCTTCCTCCCAACCCCCCATTGGCCTCTTTTACCCCTCCCCCCCCCCTTAACCCTCCCCCCCCCAACCCCCCAAAATCCCCCGAAAACCCCCCCCCTTTTGATTCCCCCCAAGAGTCCCAAGGATCCCCCCCCCCCCCCCTTCCCCCCCGGCCCCCCCACTTACCCCCCCCCCCCCTTTGGAACCCCCCGGTCCTTCCCCCTCCCCCCCCCGGGCCCCCCCCCAAACCCCTTCCCCCCCTTTTAACCCCGGAATGTTCCCCCGGGTTCCCCAAAAAGGGGGTGGGTTGGGGTTAGGGGGGCCCCCGGGCCCCTCCCCCCCCCCCTCCCCCCTCCCCCCCCCCCCACCCCCCCCCACAAACCCCCCCTGAGCCCCCCCCCCCCCCCCTTTCCAGGTCCCCTCCCCTTAACCCCCCCCCCCTCCCCCCCCCTTTAACCCCCCCCCCTTCCCCCTTTCCCCCCCCGGGGTCCCCCCCCAGGGGCCCCTTCCCCCCAACCTTTTCCCCCTTTGGCCCCCTTCCCCACCCCCCCCCCCCCTTTAAGATGGGGAAAGGTAAACTACGGGCCCCGCCCGGATCCAAACCCCTCTTCCCGGTTTGGCCCTTCGCTCCCCCCCCCCCCATCCCCGTCCCCCACCGCCCCCCCCCCCCCCCCCCCGCCCCCCCCCCCCCCCCCCCCCTCCCCCCCCCCACCGCCCGCCGGCGCCCCACCTCCCCCCCCCCGCCACCCCCCTTACCCCCCCCCGCCCTGCCCGCCCCCCCCCCCCCCCCCCCCCCCCCCCCTCCCCCATCTCCCGCGCCCACCGCCCCCCCCCCCTTCACCCCCCTCCCCCCTCCCGAGCCCCCACTCCCCCCCCCCCCCCTTCCCCCATGCCCCCCCGCCCTCCCCCCGTCCACCCCCTCCCCCCACCCCAGCCGCCCCCACCCCCTCCCCCCCCCTCCCCCACCCCCCCCCCCCCCCCATCCCCCCTCACCCAGTCCTCCCCATACCCCGCGCCACACCCCCCCCCTCCCCCCCCCCCCCCGGTCCGATCCCCCACCCCCCCGCCACCTCCTCCCCCCCACCCCGCCCCTCCCCCCCCGCCTGCGCCCATCCCACCCCATCCCCTCCATCCACGCCCCCCCCCCCCACCACCCCCCTCCGTCCTCCCCCCCCCCGCCCCGTCCTCCTCCCCCCATCCCCCCCCCCCCCCCCCCCCCCGCACTCTCCCCCCCCCCCCCCCTCAGCCCCAGCCCCCCCCCCCTCTCACCCCCCTCACCCCCCAACCCCCACCTCCCCTCCCCCAACCCCCCCCTCCCCCTAATTCCCCACCCCCCCACCCGACCCCCCCCCCCCCAACCTGTGCCCCCTCAGCCCCCTCCCTCCCCCCCCCCCCTCCTCCCCCCCGCCGACCCCCCCTAACCCGCACCCCCCGCCCCCCCCCCCCCCGGCCCACCGCCCCCTCCACCCCCCCCCCCCCCCCCTCCTCCCCCCCCTCCCTCACCCCCACCCACCCCATCCCTCCGCCCCACCCTCCCACAGTCGCTTCTCTCCGCCCCGCCCATTGCCCCCCTGCCCCACCCCCACCTGCCACCGACCCCCCCCCCCCCCACCCCCCCTCCTCCTCCCCCCCCTCCCCCCCCGCCACCGCCTACCCCGCCCCCGGCCCCCCCCCCTCCGGCCCCCGCCCCCCTCCTCGCCCCCCCCCACCCGCCCCCCCCGACCCTCCCCCCACCCGCTCTCCCCCCCACCCGCCCCCCCGCCCACCCCCGCCCGCCGCACGCCCACACCCCCCCCGACCCACCCCCCACCCGTCCCCCCCCCCCCTCCCCCCCCCCCCCCTCCCCCACCCAACCCGCCCTCCCTCCCGCTCCACCCCCCCACCCCGCCCCCCCCCTCCCCCCCCGACCCTCCCTCCCCCCCCCACACCCCCCCTCCCACTCCCCCTTTACCTCCCCGCTGCGTGCCCCGTCCACCACCCCCCCTCTGCCCCCCCCCACCCTCGCGCCCCACCACCCACAGACTCCCCGACTCCTCCCCCCCCCTCCCACCCCTCCCACCCCTCCCCCTCCGCCACCGCCCCCTCCTTCCCCCCGCCCCCCCTCCTCCTCCGCTCCTCCCCCTCGCCTCCGGCCCCGCCCCCCCGACCCCCACCCCTCCCCCCCTCCCCCCCCACCCCCTTCCACCTCCCATTCACCCCCCCCCGCCCTCCCTACCCCCCCCCCTGACTGCCCCAACCGCGTTCCCCCCCACCCCCGCCCCCTTCCCCCCCCCGCCCCCCGTCACCCCCACTCCCCCCCACCCCCCGAAACCGCTCTCGCCCCCACCCCACCCCCCCCTCCCAAACCCTTCGCACCCCGCCCCCCCCCCCCACCCCCCCGTACAACCCCCGACACCCCCCCCCCCCCACCCACGCTCCCCCCCCCCCCCCCCCCCCGCCCCTTCAGCCCCCCCCCCCCCCGCCCCTCCACCTCCCTCGCCCCCCCCGCCTCCATCCCCCCCCTCCCCCCCCCACCCCCCCACCCTCCCCCCCGCTACCATCCCCAGCCCCCCCCCCCCCTCCTCCCCCCCCTACCCTAGGCCGCCCCCCCCGCCGCCCCCCCCCCACCCTCTCCACCCCTCCCCACCCCGCTCACCCACTCCCCCCCCCTCAACCCCCCCCTCCTCCCCCCTCCCCCACCCCCCCCCCGCCTCAACTCCAAGCTCCCCCCCCATCACCACCCGCTCCCCTGCACCATCCCCACCCCTCTCCTCCCCCCCTCCCTCCCCCCCCCCCCCCCTCCCGCTCCCCCCCCCCACTCTCCCCCCCCCCCCCCCCACTCCCTACCTCCTTTACCCCTCCGACCTCCTCCCCCTCCCCCCGCCCCTCCACCCTCACTCACTACTTCTCCCGCACTCCCCACGCCCCCCACACCCCCCCATCCACCCCCCTTCCCCCCCCCAACCCACCCGCCCTACCCCCCCCTTCCCCCCCTCCCCCCCCCCTCCACACTTCCCATCCCATCTTCCCCCCCCCCCCCCCCCCCCCCTTCCCCACCCCACCTCCCCACCCCCCCCCCCCCCCCTCCCCCCCCCTCTCCCGTCGCCCCCCCCCACCCCCCCCCCCCCCCCCCCCCTCAGCCCCCCCACCCCCCACCCCCCCCCTCCCTTCCCCCACCCCCTTCACCCCCTTCCCACTCCCCCCCCCCCCCTCACCCCCCCCCTCCCCCCCGCCCCCCTCCTCCCCCCCCCCCCCCCTCCCCCAAATTAAAACCAACCCCAACCCCTTACCTACAAAGCCTTTCCCAAAACTCCGCCCAAACAACCCTCACCCCCTTTTTTTCCCCAAGTACCAACCCCCCTTTTCCCCTTTCGCTCCCCAAAAGGCCCTTCTTCTATCTTGCTCCCCCCCGGCCCCTCCCCCAGGGCCACCCTTGCAAGGACTTCTCCAGGGTCCCCCCCCCCAATTTTGGGAACCATCCCCCCAAACCAAATCAACTGTCACCTTCCCTCCTCAAAAATTGGCGCTCCCTGTTAAACCCACCCCTCTTGTGGGGCCTACCCCATCCCTAACCTAAAAAATTTCCCTCCGGCCCTCTCCCCCCCCCCAAATCCCAAACCACCCTTTCCCATCCACCCCCACCAACCAAAACTTCCCCCTTTGTTCCACTACCCCCTCCCCCCTTATTTGAAAGCTCAAAAGAGAAGGCCCTCTAACCCCCCCGTTTTGTGTTTGAAAGTTGTTTTGTAATGTTTCAGTATTGCCCCCCCCTCTATTGTACAGCGTTTAGAAAACCTTTGGCGGCTATATTAAAACTCAATTGTAATGTTATTTAATGTATGCAGACACACTACAGGAAACAGATGGTCAGAGATGAAGGGACACACTACAGGAGATGGTCAGAGACCTGACAGATATTATTATGTATTTTATAGGGAATATATATAACGCCAACGGTTTGATCAGCACTTTACTATTTATATAAGGGAAACAATACAGCAACAATACCGATCAATACAAGAGGGGTTAGGAGGGCCACTGGTTCCTTGGCGCTTACAATCTATGAGTACAAGGAGATGGTCAGAAGACTGGCAGATATAGTACAGGAGATGGGTCAGAGACTGCTCATATGATGCCTGAACCCTGTGTAAAGGAGTATAATATTCGCAGGCGGCTTGCTCCATTCTACTTAACGCCCAGATCTGTAAGATCCAGTCAGACATTCCTAATTACAAAGTCACAACAAGAGACAGGAGGCAAGCAGCACTTCCAATCGCTTCCGTACGTATTAAATACAGTACAACTGGTCAAGAAGCCGTGGAGGACAGTAATTCAGCTAATGAAAACTGAGAAGCTTTCCGCCCTACCCAAGCAGTAATCACCTCCAAAGACCAACATCATATGTGTACAACCATGTGTCACTGGTCACTGGTTAATGCCAACCATATGTCACTGGTCACCGGCAATGCCAACCAATGTGTCACTGGTCACCGCTTAATGCCAACCATGTTGTCACACTGGTCACGCCGGCAATGCCTATCCATAGTGTCACTGGTCATACCGGTAATAGCCAACCATTCAATGTCCACCTGGTCACCGGTCATGCCTACCATGTCTCACTGGTCGCGCAGCACTCGCCACCCATGTGTCATGGGCCATATGCCAGGCTGTGTTCTGGCAAGCTTGCAAGGTTTAGATTAGGCCCTTTGGCTTGTATGTATCCTGTGTAACCTGCATGTTGCCTGAACACACCGGATAAGATCAACCGGAATACAGGTGAGCCATTGGACACAGTTCTTTCTGATTGGAACCTTCTTCCTTGTCGCTCCCAGGTTATATTTTACATCTCACACTGCCAGGGCCCTCATCTCAGCCCCGGCACCAGCCAACCAGCTTCATTCCATTCGAATCAGTCTCAATGTGTGCAGACTGGGAGATGGGGAGCATTACAGCAGTGTTGCATGATTGGCTAAGGATCGGGTGGGAGGAGGAGCAACGGTCGCTGCAGCCCAGTGCTGCAGTGATATTTGTCTTGTCCCGCCCCCTTAATTAGATAGAGCCTCGCGCTATTGGACTGCTCTAATAAGCATAGCAGATAATCCTTAATCCTTTTGTGTAAATTTCAAAAACCCAGTTTAAACACCCAAATGCCTATGTATGAGCAATAAAGTTTGTGCTATTAAATACGTTTCCAAAGTGTCCACATACCCCTGGCCTCCAGTCCTCTTCGAATTCTCTTCCTCCTCAGGAAGTACCAAAATTGTAGGGAAGGGTTCAACTCTTCGTTCAATCAATAAACGTTCTCTATGTGTTAAACTATATGTCATGTACCTGATTGGAGAATGAAATGACGAGGTTGGCCTCACTTGTGTCACTAGCCCTGACCCCACTGGAAGTGGAACAGAGGGTGTCTAGGGACAGGGGGACAAGAGCGCCAGCAGATGTTGCTTGAAGCACTTGCAGCTGGAGTCCTTAAAAGACTGATGAACCACCGATTCAGGAACAGCAGTGATATGCAGAGCTGGTATCGTAGATTGCCAGACGTGTACCAGAGCAAGGCAGGAAGCTGGGATGGGAGACAGGAGCAATGTCATAGGAATAGCTGGGGTCATCAAGGGGTGGACAGCGAGGTATCAAATCATAAGCAAGCCTAAGTCAGGAACAGAGCCGAAGTCAGGAACCAGTATCAAGCAGGAGAGGAAACGAGTCCGGTCAGGAACAAGCCGGGTCAGCAACAAGGGAATCACACAGGAACAAGCAGGACATGGGAAACAGCTAAAGACCAGTCAACACTAACAGGCAGAGGCACCCTTTAAATAGTCTGGGCGCCAATCTTTGCTGTGCGTGTGCGCGATCTCTCATTTCTGTGCGCATGCGTACGTCTGGTCACTATTCTCCGGATATTTCCATACGCATGTGCATTTCTATTCGCCAATCGTCTCACAGGAATTTCTGGTGATCAGCTTTCAAATCCTCCCGAGTGCTATCATCCTCTCTCTCTTCTAACCCTCAAAAAAAGTGTATAAACAGCACATAGTGCATTACCTTCATCACATGGAAATAGGCTATAATAAATGACACAAAAAAGTGCTCAAAACCGGGCCAAAAACTCCACCAAGTGTCAGCATATAATATCTGTCATTCCCACCCTTACCCTCTGGGTAGGCCTCTCGTGCTTTATATATACATTTTCAATGAGTGGACTCTTCCTCTAATAATCCTCCTCATAGATAATCATGCCCTCCAAGAGATATAAAACATTTAGTGTAATATTGTTAACAAGTAGATTTCTTATTATGCCTTTTACTCCTTTTACTCCATCCTTTGACAAAGTCAAATTGACGTGACGCGTACAGGAAGTGACATCAGACGCCAACCAGAAGATGCGCGGCGGTCATTTTGGGTGAGGTCCGTTCCATAGAAACTGTATACCAAACGCTAATGTACATCCCCATACTTGTAAGAGCTTTTACATTCAATAAATCTGATGGTTGTGATTTGCTATGCGATGTTTGCCCGTTCTGTTTTGATTTACCGTATTTTTCGCTCCATAAGACGCACCTGACCATAAGACGCACCTAGGTTTTAGAGGCGAAAAACAAGAAAAAAAATATTCTGAACCAATGGACTGCAGACACAGTATAGGGGATGATCAGAGACTGCGGACTTAGTACAGGAGATGACCAGAGACTGCAGACTTAGTACAGGAGATGACCAGAGACTGCGGACACAGTGCAGGAGATGACCACAGAGACTGCGGACACAGTGCAGGAGATGACCAGAGACTGCAGACAGTTCAGGGAATGACCAGAGACTGCAGACAGTGCAGGGGATGACCAGAGACTGCAGACAGTGCAGGGGATGACCAGAGACTGCAGACAGTGCAGGGAATGACCAGAGACTGCAGACAGTGCAGGGAATGACCAGAGACTGCTGACCTTTGGGGAGGGAGGGGGAGCAGGTACCTGAATTTGACACTTTCGCGGAGTTGTCCTTCCCTCTTCTTCCCGGGCCGGCTTCTGTGACAGCCAGGTGCCCCATGCGTGAGAAGCCCTGCGCTTTGTGAATGGCCCGGCGCCTTCTGTAGCCTGTCATGTGTCCCAGAAGACACCGGATCATTCACAAAGCGCAGCACATGCGCAGTGGGCACCCGACTGTCACAGAAGCCGGCCCGGGAAGACTGTACAGTGCTGGAGCGAGGAACAGGTAAGGCCCTGCAGGAGAGAACAGCTGAGTGGCCGGCCCGGTATTCTGACATGGTGGCGGTAGAAATACCGGGACCGACCGCTTTATATTCGCTTCATAAGACGCACTGACATTTTCCCCCCTTATTTGGGGGGAAAAAAGTGCGTCTTATGGAGCGAAAAAATACGGTACATATCGGCTTTGTGGTGGGGAGTGACAAGAGCCTGGAGAGTTGGCCTGGAAAGAGTCTATCTGCTCAAGGCTTTTTTTCTATACAGTCTGGTAAGGTGAATATTCAAGTAATAAAGGAGTGCGCTAAATAAAATCACAAATAAACACAAAATAATGTCCATAATAATAAAGTCCAACCACCATTCAGAGTGATGATAAATAAATGCAACGATCTTGTGTGAAAAAAACTAAATCCACCACCGAAATGAAATACACTCATCAGAGCTATATGCTGATCAAATTATAAACCAGCATAATAGCAATTGCTCTGTGAGCGATGATCTGCAGGGATATCCCGAGTATGGGAGCAATAAACTGCAATCAGCCAATCAGCACAAATGGATCAGCCTTATAGCAAGTGGTCATCATTTTCTCCATAAATAGTGGTAATGCTCAGCTCGAGGAATCAGAATATAAAGGCGCAGCGCGTTTAAAACCATCGATACTTTATTAACATAGCCAGTGTAAACTCACAAAAATGGTGTCTCAACTGACACCAGCATGAACAGCATCTGAAACATCCACTTAACCTCCCTGGCGGTCTGATTCTTTCCGATTTTTTTAAGCTGAAAGCGGTACCATTATTTTGCATGGAAATATGTAGTTTTTTATTGTAGGCTGTAATTTTTAGGAATAACTCACTGAAATCTGTCCAAACAAGAGTCTAGTAAACATCCCGGATATGATAAAATTTGAAACACGAAATCATAAATTATAATTTAATAAATAATCATAAAAAATAATAATATAATAATAAATGTAATTCAATAATATAATCAAACCAAAAACACTGAAATGTGAAATATAGCGCCAAGTTCGCACATCGCTGAGCTCAGTCGCAGAATCGTTTTCAGTGTCTGATGAGGAATTTCCCCCACCAAATCATTATCACTCAATTCTGCAAGTGGTTCTGATTTACTATCGCTGTTCTCTAGCCGGTCTAAAACCGCGTCTGACCTAAAGGGACGCTTTTTGGACGCCATGGACTTTTCTAAGTTTCCAGGCAGAAAGAACATTCAAAATGCAGGCAGGGCGCCGGACAAAGCACTCGGGACAAAATATATGTGAAATGCATTGAAACCGCAATGACAGCAAAAATGACATTTTTAAAAAATTTCAAATTTCCCGCCGGTTCCGGCGCCCGTACGTCCCGACGTCGCAGGGACCGGAACACAGAAGCCGGATGCCGGCATCGGGCCGGAGGAGATGGCCCGGGACGCTGCAGGGGACACATCGCGGGAGCGCAGGACAAGGTAAGTGCTGCAGGGACCCCCAGAGCAACACCGCATGGTGAGCCCGAGTGTAGCTCGGGGTTACCGCTCTTGGTATAGAAATTTTACCCCGAGCTACACTCGGGAATACCGCTAAGGAGGTTAAGGAAGACAGGGATGGACCACACTGCAATCTCACAGCTGACAGCTCCGAGGAACGTCCAGACGTCACATCCGTTAGGCCACCTGGTAAGGTCTGGTAAGGTGCATGGACTGTGAGGTGGCCGATCACTTTGTTGTTTTACTCATACTGGTGGTCACTTGTTTGGAATAAAAGGATCACTGAGTGGCACTATATGAAATGTATTTGTTAACAGTATTATACTATACGTTCTGTCCCCCTTTGTAATGTACAGCGCTGAGCGAACTATTGGCGCTTTATAAATACTGTATAATAATAAAAATAATAATATGTTTTTATATCTCTTGGAGGGTATGATTATCCACGAGGAGGATTATTAGAGGAAGAGTCCACGCATTGAAAATGTATATATAAAGCAAGAGAGGCCTACCCAGAGGGTAAGGGTGGGAATGACAGATATTATATGCTGACACTTGGTGGAGTTTTTGGCCCGGTTTTGAGCACTTTTTGTGTGTCATTTATTGTAGCCTATTTCCATGTGATAAAGGTAATGCACTATGTGCTGTTTATACACATTTGTTTGAGAGTTAGAAGAGGATGATATCACTTGGAGGATTAGAAAATTGAGCACCTTGTGAGCCGGGAAGAAGTGAAAGATCACTTAGGGTTACAAATTGAGGACATTTATTGATTGGACGAAGAGTTGAGAAACCTGAATCTGCCAGATTGCTGGGCCCCTCTGTCAAAATGACAGGACCGGGCCCCTTACAGGAGGTCTGGAGGTCCCCCCTTATCAGCAGCCCTGCACACAGGTGTAACAGCTTAATAATACCTAGGATCAGGGTGAATAGGCAGGAATCCAGGCAACGTGGGCAGGAGACAAAACCCAGGGCTGGATCAATGTCCATGGCAGCATGACATCTGGAGAGTCGAAGAGTTCCAAAAGTGGGGAGCTGTGAAGTTGAACATGTTGTAAGGCGTGGTATGTTTGAAGAACATGGAATGTGGTGTGGAGTAGACACAACAGAAGTCTTAGAAAGAACAAAGTTGTGATTGGGAGTACAAAATGAGCAACTGAGTGGATGCTTGAAGGTTCCCAAGAATGCAAAAATATGTCACAGATGAGAGGTTCCAGTGATCCCAACCTTAACCGATGCAGAGCTGTGGATGAGAGGTGATAACAGGGGCCCCACTAAAGAACTCCACACCTTGCAGGTAGTAGTGTTGGGTTCTATGTTCAAGTCGAACCTAAGTTTGACTCGAACATGGACCGTTCGTGTGTGTTCGCTGTGATTGGGAGTACAAATGAGCAACTGAGTGGATGCTTGAAGGTTCCCAAGAATGCAAAAATATGTCACAGATGAGAGGTTCCAGTGATCTCAATGTAACGGAACCGGACCCCGCCTGCACTCGGGTATTTCCATTAGACTCCCGCTTCCCTGACCGAACACAAACCACGGACACCACTCTTGAACGAAAACCAGGAAATAGACTGCTTTATTTTAACACAGAAACAAGATAAAAACATTCAAGGGAACAACCCACCTCCCTGCATAATGACACAGGGTGGGGAAAACCAAATCTATCAACCAGAGACACATCAGCAGACACTGTACTAATGACACTTGGCAGGAAGGGGTTAACAAAGGGTTAAAGTATAACTTTTCTTTAGTTTTGGACAGAGTAGAGATGGATTAGAGCACCTGTCAGTTTTTATTTTGCCGTTTGTATTTTTTAAAATATATTCTATTATAACATGGGTTAAATGATATTCTCTTAAAAAAAAAACCTCAAATAATTATTTAATACAACAGCCCTAAGCCCATATTTTTTTTAGCGGAAGCAGTCTTGCAATCAGCATGTCCTTCACCTCCACATTTGGGGTGTGACGTTCGTTTGTTTTCATAACAAGAAGCTGGAGTGGTAGATAGCAGCGCCGTCTTTAAGGAGGGGAAAAGGGGCAGCTGCCCTGGGCCCAGTCATAGTTGTGGGACCCAAAGCAGCTGCTCCACACTTGCCAACTGTCCCAGTTTACATTCCCTTATCCCTTGAAGTCTTCATCCCGCGCTGTGGTCACTTCTGCTGCCCAGCTCTGACCTATTGCCAAGACTCACATGCAGACCCTGTCGCCATTCACATGTAAACAACTGGCATTGAGGCGGGTCAGTAGAATTAATGTGTAAATATTAATTCATATGTAAATATTCAACGGCATTCATATGTATATTATATCCCCCTAAGTGTCCCCATGTGTGTAGATGTAGGTCATGTGTAGGGCAGCCCATTTTATTTGAATTTTCTTCTCAATGCGCTAGAAATGAGAAAATAAAGTCCTTTCAAAATCACACCGAGCCTCGGCACTGTGAATTTTGGTGCATGTGGAAATGTGCACGTGAGCAGATGTGTGAGGGTGTCATCAACAATTAATGGCACTCCTGTGTATCTGCTAAAGGGCATCACTTTTCCATGGTGTCAGGAAACCGATTTTACATGCGTTCCCGACACGCACAAATGAGAACATAGGCTAAATGACTCAATTACATTGGAGGTCAGTATAAATCTTCTCATCACATTAGGGCTTGGTGAAGAATCCTTTCATTCACACTAGTGGTCAGTGTAAATCCCTCCTCACTTTGGTGGTCACTGTGAATGGTCCTATTTCATTAGTGGTAAGTGTAAATCCCTTTACATTGGTGGCCACTGTAAAAAAACTCCTCTTTATTATATTGGTAGGCGGTAAAAAACTCCTAACTTTCATGTTTGGTCAGTGTTGAATCTTCCTTTACATTGGTAGTCCATATAGAGGCCTCCCTTTAATTGGTGGTTAGTGTAAATTCCCCCTTACATTGGTGGCCAGTGTAGAAATGTATTGCTTGCTGGTGTAAAATCCCCCATTACATTGGTTGTCAGTGTAAATTTTCCATTACATTGGTCGTCAGTGCAAATTCCCCGATTGCATTGGTGGTCAGTGTAAATCTCCTCTTACATTGGTGGCCGATGTAAAAATGTCATCTCCCATCCCCATCCGGCACTGCCACTGATCCCATCCACCCCAAGCACTACTGATCCCATCCCCCCCCACCAGCACTGTCACTCATCCCATTCCCCCAACACTGCCACTTATCCCACCCCCCACCACCACTGACACTGATCCCATTCCCAAACCACTGCCACTGATT